TGTGATTACAAATGCAAGTTGCAAAACCAAAAAGCACGTACTCCCCAGCAGTATCAGGAGAACCAGCCTTTCAACTCTCCACTTGAGGTGAAGAAAAATAAGATTAGAGAAATTGGCTACTTTGAGCAAATAAAATATGCTGAGGCATGTACCAAGCCACAGGCTAATATGATTGGCTATAGTCCAGGTAATATTAATAGCTCTTAATTTTAATCTATGTACAACAGGATTAAATGCAATTAAATGCCAATTTACTAATAATAGCCAGAGCAAAACAATTCTGGAGACTGCCAGAGCAGTGAGAATTCCATCCGCAGAGGAAATCTTTCGCCTCTTGACCCAGCCAGTGCACATCATCAGTACTATGAAACTATTAGCCAAACTTCCAAGAACAAATTCGGCCATTAATATGGTGTTTATGATGGTCCCTAGTAAACTTAACATGTCTGTATAAGATGGTAAACCAACCTGGCACCACTGCTTTTGATTCCTTAATACACTGACCTATGTTCTATGTCCACCTGATTTCTGAATGAGCAGTCAAATCTAGTGCTCCTTCAAATTCTGTGACTAATCTCCAACTGGAAAGCATCAAGGAATGCTGGTGATAGACTAAGATATGTCTTTATGAAAAGAATGTTCTAAAAAATTAGCTCCTGGTCATAGGCTGACATATACTAGTGTTGGAGTGCAAGCTGAATTCCCTCGCTAGCATGCAAATAAAGACATCTCACTGCTTTGCAATGTGTCCTTATTTAACCTCTCCATAATTTGTGTTCATCGATGCCATTTGTTAGTAAAATTAAAAACCCAATACATAGAACATATGGTAGCAAATATCTACACTGGATGGTAAAACTTGGCCACCACTAATGATTTAATTTATTTTTTTCATGTCAAATTTATGTGGAAAAATTGAAGAGGGCAGATCCATAGACCAGCCAAGCTTTTCCTGTCACAGAACCCAAGCTTCCTTTTTTAAATAAATCATTTTACTGGGGCTCATACAACTCTTATCACAATCTATCCATCCATCCATTGTGTCAAGCACATTTGTACATTTGCTGTCCTCATCATTCTCAAAATATTTGCACTCCACTTAAGCCCTTGGTATCAGCTCCTCATTTTCCCCTTCCCTCCCCATTCCCCCCTCCCTCATGAGCCCTTGATGATTTATAAATTCTTATTATTTTGTCATCTCTTATTGTTCCCTTGTCCCTGGGTTTGTTGTCTCCCTCCTCTCCTTTTCCCCCACCTCCTCCTCTCCCTTGTCTTTCCAGAACTGTCGGTCTGACGTTTTCTCCATGGGACTGTTTATCTTGCCTTATCTAGATAGACAAGGCGGGTGGGGGAGGGGGAGGAAAGCCTATGAATACTTCACCATCTGTTTGTGACCTTTATGAATGTTTTCTGATGGGGTCTCATGCAGTACCAAGCTCTGCCCCCACCCCCACCCCAGAGTCCAAAGTCTGTTTGCAGACTTCCTTGGGGACTTTGTTGCTTTGTTCCCCTTGTTGCTCTGTTGTGCTCCCTTTGTGTTGCACCCAGGTGTGGGGGAGCTCAGACCAGGCACAATTCCCTCACTTTGTCTCTGGGGCTGCCCCCCACAGCTTTACATGTGGATTTAAATAGCACCTAATATTATAGCTTCCAAATATACTTGTTGATATTTGAACACGATTCACAATTTAAAATGTCATAA